TATTTCCCGGTGCAGTTCCACAAAGGAGAACACGGCTTTGATAACGCAGAGATGGACATGAAGGCCTTCTTCAGAGCTGTGGGACCAGCCTTCCACCAGAACCTGGAGGTGGGACCCTTCGAGACGGTCAACATCTACCCACTCATGTGCCACATCCTGGGGATAACACCCGAGAAGAACGACGGGTCTCTGGAGGTCACCAGACACATGCTGAGGAGCGAGGGAGGAGGTGGGGGACTAAGAGCAGGACAAGTGAGAGGTGAGGGCCGCGCTCCAGCTCTGACCTCCCACACTGCTCTCTGGTTAAGGGTTAGGGTTAGGAAGGTGACTTTTAAAATGTATTCCCCTACAGATTACAGATTACAGACCCCAAAATGTAGTTTATTTCATTAAATTACTTAAAGTGAGTAATGTAATCTGAATACTTTGGATTACTTGATATTGTCATGTTTTTTTTAAAATGAACATGAATGTAGCAGCACATCCCAATAGAGAAATGATTTTTATATGAGATCACTGCTGCCTTCAATTATGTCCACCTACTGTTAGTGTCATATTGTTTAGACCTGGTTTAGTCCTGGTTTAGTCCTGGTTTTAGACCTGGTTTTAGTCCTGGTTTAGTCCTGGTTTTAGATCTGGTTTTAGACCTGGTTTAGTCCTGGTTTTTGATCTGGTTTTAGACCTGGTTTTAGACCTGGTTTTAGTCCTAGTTTAGTCCTGCTTTAGACCTGCTTTACTCCTGCTTTTAGACCTGGTTTATTCCTGTTTTTAGACCTGGTTTTAGTCCTGCTTTAGACCTGCTTTAGTCCTGCTTTAGACCTGCTTTTAGACCTGGTTTAGTCCCGGTTTTAGTCCTGGTTTAGTCCTGGTTTAGACCTGGTTTAGAAGTGGTTTAGACCTGGTTTAGTTCTGGTTTAGTTCTGGTTTAGCTCAAAATGTGAAAACAGGAAAATACTGCCCTGTAATCCATTTATTTCAACAAAGTAACTGTAATCCAATTACCACTCACTGAAACAGTAACTGTAACTGAATACAGTTAATCATAATTTGTACTCTGATTACGTAATCCCGGTACATGTAATCTGTTACTCCCCAACACTGTTAAGGGTCCATCACCTGCTTGTTGCTATGGATACTACGGTCATTGTTCTGTCTGGAATGTTCCACAGTGTGACATTAAACATCACTATTTTACATTTATTCAATTATAGTTGGTTTATAGCTCAAAAATACCTAGAAAAACGATATTGTGACTGTGAGTGGGGTCGCCTCTCCACAGATCTGACCTGTAACTTGATCTGGTTTGGGCTCCATGACGACAGAAAGATTTAATGCCACACTGTGAAACATTCCAGACAAAGCAATAACATCTCCATGGAGGAGAGCATTTGACAGACCCTCCACCAAAAACATTACACAATGCCACTTTAATACACAAGTGTTGCATATATTAGTCCCTGACAAACCTAAAAGTAACATTAATTTAAGTGTTAAATTCAAAAGTCAAAATGAACATTCTAATATTAATTTATCTATATTTTGGGAAAATAATTCAGGTGTGAAGTGTTAAAGAAATAAAAGTATGCAAAATATAATCAAGTCACATTTTAGAACATTTTATCAAAGATACAAAATCCTATGGCGCCATCAAGTGGTTCATCACTGAAATTACTACTACTGCTGCTACAATTTTATTACTACATTTTCATTATTAGTACAGTAGCTACTACTACCGCTACTGCTTCTACAATTACTACTACCGCTGCTACAATTTTACTACTACTGCTATTGCTAACTACTACTACTACAACTACTACTGCTACTACAATTACTGCTACTACAGCTACTACAACTACTGCTACAAGTACTACTACTACTACAACTACAACTACAACAACTACAACAACAACTACTACTACTACAGCAACAACTACCACTACTACTACTACTACTACTACTACTACAACAACAACAACTACTACTACTACTACTACTGCTACTACTACTACAAGAACTACCACTACTACTACTACAACAACAACAACTACTACTACTACTACTACTATTGCTACTACTACTACAACTACAACAACAACAACAACTACTACTACTACTACTACTACTACTACTACTACTACTACTACTACTACTACTACTACTACTATTACTAATAGTAGTATTTCAAGTACTACTTCAGATCTCAGAAGATCAGCAGGGTTGGGTCTGGTCAGGACTTCAGTGAGAGATCAGGTGCTACAGTGGGACTAAAACTGCTGTTGTGTCTTTAGGCAAGACACTCACAGCCTCACTTCTGTCAGACTGTCCCAGGGCAGCTGTGGCTACAGTAGAAACTGTAATGTCTGACTCAGTGTTTCTGCACCGTCCTGTTTGTGTTCCAGCGGTGAACTACCTGAACAAAGCTCTGGTGGGTCTGGGGGCTATGGGCGTGTTTCTGGTCATAGTTGCGATCCTGTTTCTGGCCAACAGGTACCTGAAGAAGAAAAAGAAGAGGTACGTTTAACACACACGCTTCCACACTGCACAAACTCTAACGCTCGCTTCAACTTTGGATTCTCAACAGTTCATGTGTGTTTTGTGCCACAGTTTTAGATATCACATCGCTGGTCAGTTTCAGTCTTCACTTTAGACTCTTTCTATTGATACTTTGAAGTGACATCGCACTGGGGGTGTTCTACATGTATATCTGTAGTGGTATGTTCAGTAGTTACCATGGTGACATAATGCACATATTATTTCCACTGCCAGGACTTTAATGTTTCCTGTTTGATATAAAAACGAGAATCTCAGGCAAAAACAGTCACCAGAAAACAGAACACACAACCAGAAAACACTTTCAGAGCAGTTTGCCAATTCAATTCATAGAACTTTTTTTTTTTTTTTTTACTTTTCTGAACAAAGCAAGTTGCTAAGGCAGACTGCATCATCCGAGTGTGTTGCATTTAGGTGATATTTCAGACTCGTGAAACTCTGGTGGAAAGACAATTCAGCATTGCAGTGTTACAAATGACTTTGTGTGTGTCGTCTGAAGAAATGAAAATGGTCATGTAAAAGCTCCTTACCCTTCTCCATGTTTGTTCATCCCGCTTTCTCTCTGTTTCCTGTGAGCACCGCAGCTGTAAGCAACATTCTTTTTTCAAAATAAAAGCCAGTGAGCAACAGACATTTACAATAAAATATAAATGGTAACACTTTATAATAACTACACCTTATTTAGCCTTAATTATGCATGAACAAAGACTTAATTAATAATGATTCACGCTTAGTAACTTAACTTAATTACTACCTGAATTAGCACTTAACTTCCACTTAATTCACCTGTGCTGTAAATAGTTACTCAATACTTCTTAATTACTCATGAACTAACCATTTTCATGTTTACAAATGTGTATTTAAGTTCACATTTGAGCATTTATTAATCATTAGTAAACTATGAGAGAATGATTTACTAATAATGCAATCCAATGATCATTCAGGCAGCTGTTATCTGTTAGTTAAGTCTTTCTGAGAGTTTTTCTAAACTGAAGACTAATTATGTTTATTAAACATTTGTTAAGGTTGGTCAAATTCCAGAGAAACAATAATGCATTACTAGTAAATCATTCTTTCATGGCTTATTAATCATTAATAAATGCTCAAATTTGTACTTCAGTATACATTTACAAATGCACACATGAGTAATTAAGACAGGGGCGTCAAACTCATTTTGGTCCGGGGGTCGTATCCAACCTACTTTGATCCCAAAGGGTCTGGATCAGAAAACTCATGTCATATAAACCCCAAAAATAACAATAAGTTCAAATATTTGTGCAGAGAAACACAAATCTATTACATAAATCTTTTTTAATTGATGAACTCTTTCTTTTACAAAATATTATAATATTATGAACAACCTGAAACTTTAAGAAAAATAAAATTTCAACACAATGTTTTAACATGAGCTTGTATGTAAATAGGAATAAGTCGATTTTTCATGGAAAATCCTGCACTCGGCTCCACTTTTCTCATGTTGGACATTTTGCTGATGAGGGTGTCACGGTCAACAGTCAAAACGATCGTCCTTTAAGAGCGTTTGGAAAGAGACAAGTCTTCATTTGTGCTGCTCTGGTGGGAGGGAGCCACGTACAGAGACGCTGGAGACGCTGCTGTGATAAACACCACAGAAAATTAACAAGATTTTAATAGAAAATATAATTAAAATATTTTAGTAGAAAATCAGCCGAGGGCCAGATTAAAGGTCCTGGAGGGCCGGATCTGGCCCCCAGGCCGCATGTTTGACACCTGTGTATTAAGAAGTATTGAGTAACTATTTACAGCACAGGCGAATTAAGTGCAAGTTAAGTGCTAATTCAGGAGTAATTAAGTAGTTACTAAGAGTGAATCATTATTAATTAAGTCTTTGTTCATGCTTTATTAAGGCTAAATAAGGTGTAGTTATTATAAAGTGTTACCATATAAATAATAAAAACTGTGTTAAGGGGAGAAAAATAATTGTTGGCAATAATGAAATAATTAGTTAACGCTAAATTGAATAATAACACATGAATGTGTCCGGCCCTAGTTAAAACAAAGCTCAGAATAAAGTCTATCTTGAGTAACAGAGCTTCAGACACAGCAGAGCCTCCAGTTAGCACCACACTCCCAGAGAATGTTGATGGCATCAGCTGCAAGTGTCAACCTGAATTTTACAATGGGAAAAAATGAATAGACAAATTGTATTTACATAATCAGAAAATGTATCAAATAAATACATTAGAATTAATAAAAAATCTAAAACAGATGAATACACTGAATTTAAGTCATGTTTCCAGATCTTTTCTCTTTGTTGCACCAAATCTTGACCAAATGACCTTGTGTTTCAGATCACAAAATAGGAGAGACGTAAGAGTCGAGGAGGAAGTAAAAGACGAGGACGAAGCAAAATACAGCGGGGACGAAAGGGATGACAAACAAACTGCCTTTTGAGTTCATCCTTCGCCCACCTGAACTGTGCCTCATGTCCAACGATGGAAATATGTATTTAAAATAAAACTTCACTTAATTAAATAATGAATGAATGAGCAGATACTAGTTTCAGTTACAAAATATGGAAAAATCAACACGAACCATTTCAACTATAGCACCAAAAAAAATGTGATATTGTTCTGTTTAGCTATTAATTAGTGAAGCACAAAAAGCGTAAATACTATGGAATATTGGCGTTGATTGTGAAACTTGATCGTGAACATTTAACTGAATCATGTCTGGGTTTAATCAGCTGGTATCCTGTGTGGCCTCTAACTGGTTTAAAGAGTCTTCACAGACTCATGTTGGTCTAGAACAAGTGTCCAAACGTCTTTCACAGAGAGCCTCATATTGAAACACGTTCAAAGAGGAGGGACATGGACGAGCGTCAGTCAGTGTTATTCAGGTGGAAGTATTTTACAAGACAAAACAACCACTGTTCTGTAAACAAGCCTCATAACATTCACTGTCCGTCTGCCCCAGTGCACTGTGACCTCACTGAGTCTACAGTAATATAGTACAATTACTTGACGTAAAATGTTCTGCTTAGGATGATTTGCTAAGGCCTGCGGGCCGACTCCAGCCCACCAGCCTCTGCCCCCTCCTCCTGAACTGGCCCTATGAACCAATCCTCCAAATGACTTTATGGCAAATAATAACACATCTGCCTCTTGTATTTTGCAGATTTTTTTTTTCAATTAAAAATGATATTTATTTAATGATAAGTATTTATATTTATATTTAAATTTTTATATGGCATATTTACATTTGACACCAAATTTTCATCACCTGACAAACTTGAGATCAAACAGTGACAGTCAACACACACACAGTACTGTAGTAGAGAATACTGTAGTACAGAATACTGTAGTACAGAATACTGTAGTACAGTGTACTGTAGTACAGAATACTGTAGTACAGTGTACTGTAGTACAGAATACTGTAGTACAGATACTGTAGTACAGAATACTGTAGTACAGTACAGTACTGTAGTACAGAATACTGTAGTACAGTACAGAATACTGTAGTACAGTACTGTAGTACAGTGTACTGTAGTACAGAGTACTGTAGTACAGAGTTCTGTAGTACAGAGTTCTGTAGTACAGAGTTACTGTAGTACGAGTTCTGTAGTACAGTACTGTAGTACAGTACTGTAGTACAGAGTTCTGTAGTACAGAGTACTGTAGTACAGAGTTCTGTAGTACAGAGTACTGTAGTACAGAGTTCTGTAGTACAGAGTACTGTAGTACAGAGTACTGTAGTACAGAGTTCTGTAGTACAGAGTACTGTAGTACAGAGTTCTGTAGTACAGAGTACTGTAGTACAGAGTTCTGTAGTGTAGAGTACTGTAGTACAGAGTACTGTAGTACAGAAGTACAGTGTACTGTAGTGTAGAGTTCTGTAGTACAGAGTACTGTAGTACAGAGTACTGTAGTACAGAGTACTGTAGTACAGAGTTCTGTAGTACAGAGTTCTGTAGTACAGAGTTCTGTAGTACAGAGTACTGTAGTACAGAGTACTGTAGTACAGTTAAGGACAGTAAAATGGCTTATGTTAAAGTAGGAACATTTGACAGAGTGCTGAGTTTTCAAAGAACAGAGGATGACAGATTCTTTTTTTGTTGAGTGAGGAGGTTTTCAAAGAATAGAATCTGAGTCTTCAGGGTCATACAGTTCTGTTATATGACCCAGACCCCGGCCCCCATCACAGTCAGGAGCCATAATGTGGCCCCCAGAGAAAAACAGTTTGGTGACTCCTGATTTAAGGTGAACAGAAACAACAGTTTGGACAACCCTGCCCTAGAAAAAAAAATAATGTAGTTTGAGTATTTATAACAACTAAATGTCCTTTCCAGCCCCTAGTATCAGTTCATATCAGAGATCTTGGCAGTTACTAAATATTGATGAGAAAACAGCATCACTGAGTGTCCTGGAGCAGATCGGCCATTACATAGGCCTACGTCTCTAACACGGGGTAAAAATGATTCAGTTTTATGTTTATTAAATATCTGAAATGGTGCCTTTCAGTTAAAAATGAGGATAAGAAAATGCTTTTAATTAAATTGTTGTAATTGAAATACTTTCTCATTTGTTGTGTCATGTGCTTAAGGTGAGGGCTGTTCAAATATTTTAGCCTTTTCAATCTAGTCTATTTCCTACATTTAACACTGCTAAGTTAATAATAAACAGTTATATTTTTGTTTTGGATTTGAATGGAATAATCATTTATCACTTAATAAAAAAAAAAAAAAAAAAAAAAAAGTTTAAAAAAAGGAGCACCCAATTAAATGAAGTGCTCTACAAAAGAATCCAGCCTCAGTTTGTTAGACGTTGACGAGCTTTGTGTACAGACTATTTGCTGATGTTTTTTTTGTTTTTTTTTTGTTTTTTTTAAAGGCACACTGTGTGACTTAGAATGTTCAACCACAGTATGACCACAAATGTAAGAATCTCCATGGAGACTTGTAAGCTAAATTACAGGTTAGATTTGTGGAGAGGCGACCAACCCACCGGAAGAATGAATGTCTTTGTTTTTTGTGTGTTTGTTTTTTTTTTTAGAATCAGATATAAGAATAATAAATTATACCTGTAGTTGAATACCAATACCAATAATACCGCTGTGAACAATTTAAACCAAAGCATCAACATCTCCATGGAGACTCCAGAAAAGTTACACAGTGTACCTTTAAACTTTTGATCCTGCTGTCTTTTTTTAAATATAATTATTTTTGTTGGTAATGAATAAAAGTCACTTTGGTCTGCACCAGACCAATGGGCTCAGCTCTTCTCTGTTCCTCTTAAACCCAGCAGAGGTTGCAATCCAGGCCAATACACTCAAGTTATTTTAGGATTAAGATTTTGATATATTACGCAAAATGGACTCTTGTGAGCTTTAAATCAGGTTATAAAGCTGTTACCTCCACAAAACCACACCTGGAGTTTTGTGTTATGTTTTATTTCAGTGACACATTTGAGTAACCCTTTATTATTCTTTATTGGTCTGTCTACATCTCCAAAGCTCAAAATGCTCTGTTCCACCTTGTGATGTCATGAAGCTATAGTTCGTAAGTGAACAACTCCTTTTACCTTTAGTTCAGAAGAGACAGGAAACTTTAAAGGGCCATTCACACCAAAGCGTCAAAGCGTCCAGTTTCTATGTAAAGTCTCTGTGACTAGAGCGTCCTGTGTTTTTGCAGCGCGTCTTCGCCGTCAGCGCGGCGTGAATCTGGCGTCGATGCAGTATTTCCCATTTACGTGACTTCTGTGACTGCGATGCTGAAATTTTGCACTGCATACGGACTGAACCAGGACTGATCCAGGTCCGGGATCAGACCGGGACCAGAGCGGGACCAGGGCGGACTCCAAGCTTTGACTCAGAGCCTCCTCGGGGTCCAAGCCTCAGCTTCGAGCTCTGACACTGCCGTGGACTCTGAGCCTCCGGTCTGGTCCTGGTCTGGTCTCGGTCTTAGTCCCAGACTGGTCTCGGCCTGGTCCTGGTCTGGTCTCGGTCTCAGTCCCGGTCTAGTCCCGGTCTGGTCACGGTCGCATTCCTCTCTGGTCCCGCTCTGGTCCTGGACCTGGATCAGTCCTGGTTCAGTCTGTATGCAGTGCAGAAGTCACGTAAACGGGAAACCTTTTTTTTTCCATTTTCCATTTAAACACAAAATTGAAAACTGAAAAAACTAATCGTTATCTGTTTCATTTTGGTTTTGGAGACAAATAATGAGAAAACTGTTGCCTTTTCATTTTCTTATTTTTGGTTTTATATTGAAAAACGAATTAACAAATGATACACGGATTGTGGAACATTCCAGGCAGTGTCTTCATGGAGAGAAGTAGGTGATGGGCCCTTCATCAGAAAAATTACACAATGCAACTTTAAAATATCAATACAGCAATATGTTGAACTTTTTGGCAATTTGTGTATCGATACAGACATGTGTATCATGATATTTTTACACAACATAAACGCATTATAATTTACAGGTACTTTGAATACTGCAAACGTTTCCCAATCAGGGTCTGTCAAACACTTTTCTCCATGAAGATGTTATTGCTTTATCTGGAATGTTTCACAGTATGGCATTAAACCTTTCTATCATCATGGAGACAAAACCAGACCAAGTTACAGATCTGTGGAGAGGCGACCCCACTCACAGTCAGAATTGGGGCAGTTTTTCTTGGTATTTTTCAGCTATAAAACCACCTGTAATTTACTGAATGTAAGGTAGACCTCCAACCAAAAAAGTTACATAACGCACCTTAAAGGCTGAACCTGCATGTTGCTATCAGATAGAATTGTTGTCACAATCTTGATATGTGTAAGATTTTAAACAGATTTACAGTCAAGGGTTGACAGATTAGATCCAAGTTTGTCATAAACATCAGCTGGTCTTTCAAGAACCGAGCAGATAAGATAAACCATGAAACTTTGCTCTGAGCTTCAGAAGGATCAGGCAGTTGTGGAGGAAAGACACTGGAAACAGCCTGGACTAGAGTCAGTTTTTGAAAATGCGTGCTCCGGTGGTTTTGTGTCTCCTCTGGGCCTCCGTAGCGTTGGCGTCGCCGGTGAACAGGCAGAGGCAGAAGCTGTTGCTGATTTCGTTCGATGGGTTTCGGTGGGATTACGACCGCGATGTGGACACCCCGAACCTGGATCAGATGGTTAAAGACGGAGTGAAGGCTCAGTACGTCACTCCTCCGTACCTCACCATCACCAGCCCCACGCACTTCACTCTGCTCACAGGTAAAGATCTGCAAGAGAGTTTCAGGTTTGGATCTTGGGTCTTTCTGTATAGAGTTCTCCCTGTGTTTGGGCGGTTTCCTCCAGTTAAAGTAGTCCTGATTGGAGCTTAAGATCTTAGCTGCAGTTTATCACAGAGGCACAGGTTGAGGGATGGACTGAACCCAGAGAATGAATTTTCCTCAGAAGAGAAGTATAAATAAAGCATAAAGTTTACC